ATGTCATTTTTTGGCGATCTGGATGTTTGTGAATTTTGCTGTATTCAATTTATTGTTCTTTTTCTTTGTGGAGTCAAGGTTTTATGTAACGCATAGAAAGTCTTTCTGTAGTGCAAGGTTTTAATTGGAATATTTTTTCCCAACTTCGATTGTTAATGTTTGCATACTTGATCCCCCTGGAGTTTATTTTGATGTGAGAAGTAAGGTACAAAGCCCTGCTGCCCCCACCCCGCCCCCCTGCCGCCACCATTCCCAGATGGTTACCCAGCCTACTCCTCATCACGCCTTGAGTAATCCCCCCCCCCCCGCCCCCCCCACCCCCGCAGTAGTGCAGCCAGCCCTCTGAGTCACAGACTCTCTTGAATGTGTCTTGGTCTATTTCTTGACTTTCTCGTCTTCTTTTCCTCTCCACGTGTAAGCGGTCCCCATGTGTTTTAATGCCTTGTGCTGCCTAGTTTCTCTTATTTGTCATTTAGAATTTGTCTTCCTCTTTTTTTTTTCATCTGTCCAGGTTAGCTTTGCCATTTGTCAGGTTTCTGGAAAAATCGTTTTAGAATATTTTCTTGGGATCTTGAGTGGGTCTTTGGACAGGAGGGAATGGCCTTATCTAAGAGCAAGGTGTGTCTTTCTGTACTTCTGTAGAACAGGGATGACCCCCCCCCTCAGGAAAATTCTTGAGACGGTGTCAGATTTCGCAGCACAGTCGCCCCCAGAAACTGTCACTTGTTGAGGTCTGGTGTCGTACCGTGGATGGCCGTCCACAGTTACGGGAAAGGGTTGTTGCACAGAACGCTCCTCCCCAGAGCTTCCGGCCGTCTACCTGCAGGAGGGTAGGTGTGCTCCCTTAACTGAAGCCACGCATCGGAGCGAGCGGACGGACGGACGGACGGGAGAGTCCCCCAGTCCCGAGTCAGGAGAAGAAGACTTTCCAGTGACATGGAACGGCGATACTTCTCTCCCTGAAGTTTCATCGTTCGAGAAGTAGCTTTTTTTTTTTTTTAAGATTTTATTTATTTATTTTCAGAGAGGGAAAGGAGGGAGATAGAGAGAGACATCCATGTGCGGTTGCTGGGGGTCATGGCCTGCAACCCAGGCATGTGTCCTGACTGGGAATCGAACCTGCGACACTTTGGTTTGCAGCCCGCACTCAATCCACTGAGCTACGCCAGCCAGGGCTTGAGAAATCACTCTTATTTCTTCATGAAGGTGTTACTTGATATTCCCACCGGCATGAGTGCCCACATGGTCATTTTAAAATGAATCAGTAATTACTTATTTTTTACATCTTCTCAGTTTTCATTTCTGAGAGTATCCATTCCGGGCAGTGTCACCCACGGAGACAAAGCCTCGTGAGGTCGCCGTTCACCTGGGAGGAGGCGGAGGAAGCGAGTCCGGCCAGTGCGGGACCCGCAGGGGTGAGCGGCAGGCCGGCCCACCGGTGGGACGCTTGTCCCAGGGCACGCGCAGATGCCCGGGCGCCAGCGGCCCGGCTGAGGCTCTGGGTCTGCTGCCTCCCCGTGGCCGTTGTTTAACTTCATTCGGCAAATGTTAATCTTTCCGGGACCGGCTTTCTTACTCGCAAACTGACAGTAAAAAAGCCGTTTCAGTCGTTGAAGGTTACGTAGTTTGATGCCGTCTTTGAATTTTTGTATGAGGTGTTACGATGACAGATGTGACTACATCCAGTCATTTCTTGAAACACGGATAGTAGATTACTTAGAGATAGTATCTTCTGCCCGTAAGCATGGAATATTCATGTCTAAAACCTTTTCCCTCGCAATGTTATACATGTTTTCCAGTATATGCGTAAACTTAAATTTTTACAATTAGGGAAGCAGCAAAACCAATTCGGAATGTTTCCTCAGGCAGCATGAGGCAGATGGTAACCCTAGAAAGAGATGGCATGTATTTTCAGAAGTGCAAACAGAAAAACAGATACTCCTGAAAATTCCAGTGTCATCTTTGCCTGGAAAATGAAAGGAAGGGGATGAAAGACCACGTGGCCTAATAGAACTTTTTATAGTTTCTAATGTCTAGACTTCAGTTTGGTCTATTTAATGTTAGCATGGAGCTGCGTGTGGATTGATAGTCAGAAAAAAGAACGATTAATCAGACAGATGATTACCAAGTACTTTGAACTGTGACTGTCCGACCCTGGCATCCTGTGAAATGGACGCGGGAGCGGGGAGCAGAAGCGGATGGCCCCAGACTGAGCAAGGGTCCCGTAATTGTGAACGCCTGTCACGTGGGAGCGGGTGTGTGGGACCTCGGCCTCCCACTGCCCGTCACTGCGGAGCGTGTGCTCACTCGGTTCCATCCGCTGTTCACTCGGCACGCAGTTCCAGGGGGGTGCCTTCTCTGGGCCAGGTGCGAGCGCTAGGGGCTGGGGATACGGTGCCGAGAAAAGAATTGACGTTCTCTCTGCTCGCACGTCCATGAGAGTCTGCTGGGGTGCGAGGCATGCGTCAGATGGCGACGGGACAGGCCTGAGCGTGTGCACACTCATGCACACTCATGCACGCTCGCGGCAGCTGGGGACTCTGGGCAGGAGAGGCGCGCCGTCCTCCGAGAGCCTGGGGCTGGGGGGTTGCGGAGTCAGGGAAGACCGGGGTGTGCGCGGTGCCTGAGGAACCGAGAGACGCGCTGGAGGTTGAACAAATGAATCAGAAGGGAGACTGGGAAACAAATGCAAGTCAAAGGGCCAGGAGCTTAAACGGTTCTGTATTGAGAGAGAGGGTATGGAGAACAGGAGTGCTTTCGGTGTGGATGGTCCAGAAATCAAGTCAAGGTCAGACAGGCCGTGTACCAGGGGTGTCTGACCTTGGGGCGTCTCTGGCCCACACATTAAATACATTGTGACACGTGATCACACAATAATCTCATAATGTTTTAAGTAAACGTACGATTTTGTGTTGGGCCGCCGTCGGGACACCCCTGGTAGGACCTTTTTTCGTACCTTTTTCCTAAATAGTGATAAATTATCCCTCAGGAGGGGATGGAGTGGGGTGGAGGTGGTCGGGGTATCTCACTGCTGGACCCAATTAGCGCTGCGTGTCTGGATTCATTTACCCACAGGTACTGGGCCCCTCCGACGCCCGTGCAGAGGCCCTGGACTGTTGGGGGATGTCAGTGGGTAACGCACAGTTAAAATCCCTGCTTCTGGAAAGCTTACGTTCTTCCACATAAGGGGTCCGGGGCAGGCAGAGAATGCCACAAATGAGAAAGTCTGTTGTATGCCAGAAGAAAAGTAACACCGCGCTGTAAGAGGGTCAGTAGTGTGGCTTGAACAGCATGGTCAGGGGAGGTGTCACTGAGAATGGGCGGTCAGCGCTGCCCCGAAGGAGGGAGGGCAATAGCTGGTCGTATCTGCAGCACCAAGGCCCGCACGGCGGCACGTTGCCGAATTCAGAGCGTCCGGAAGGTCGGGATGGGGGCCAGGGAACAGTGGCGTGAAGACAGGGGGCGTCACATCACGTGGGGCCCCGCAGCCCTGTGCCTTAGGGCTCACAGACCCCTGTACAGACTGGTGTACACTGAGGGAAATGCAGCGTTTGAATCGTGGGATTCCCCCTTCCTGAAGTTTGGCCGTTGGGTTTGAGACAGACCCGAGTCTGAGGCTGTGGCCGCCTCATGGGCTGCCTCCCACGCCCCAGGTGGGGTCTGCATCTTCTGTCCTCATCCGCACATACCTGCATGCGGTCCTCGACCCTGGACTCACCGTGTGGGGCGCCCAGGGTCTTCCACCCAACCCGAGATGGGTCCGCACGTACTCCTGCTGCGTCAGCGGTGTCCACACCCTGACACACACGTTTCTGACGTCAGCACGAGTATACCGCGAGCCGGTGGACCCAGCGGGGTCTGCAGCTAAGACTGTCTCCGGTCAGGTGTCAAGTTTCAGGCAATTAATAATTCTAATCGAATGTTCCTCGGTGTCACCAACATTATGTCACAAAATGGAGGCATAGTGAAGAACTTCTTGAAATGGAAATTAGACGTGAATAAAACTTTCATTGCAGTTGACTCAGGTTTGAGACTCTCCAATGCTTCTGTGTTGAACTTGAACTTTTTTTTTCAAAGCTATGTTGGATGCTTCTTTATTTTTAAAAAAATTTTTTTAAAGATTTATTTATTTATTTTTAGAGAGGGAAGGGAGGGAGAAAGAGAAAGAAACATCCATGTGCGGTTGCTGGGGGTTGTGGCCTGCAACCCAGGCATGTGCCCTGACTGGGAATCAAACCTGCGATACTTTGGTTCACAGTCCACACTCAATCCACTGAGCTACGCCAGCCAGGGCAAACGTGGACTTTTAAAATCAAACCATTGTTAGGGAAATTTAAGAGGCTTGTGGCCTACTAGGGAAAAGTGGATAGTACTCTCCTAGAGCTGCAAATGGTCCTCCTAGAGGTACAAGTGATTGTTTTAACATCTTATATTTTATTAACCTGTTAGTCCTTTTTTAAAATGAGGCAATCTGAGACCTTCGGGGTGTTCTACTCTGTTTTGTTTTTTCCTTGTCATCAAAGTTGCTTTCCTGGGAGGTTGGGGTGTGTGTACAGAAGAGGATGCTGTGTGGGCTCAACAACAGGGAAGTGTACATATACACTAGACCATACTGATGTTTGAAGCCTTTTAATTCTTCTCATTGCACTAAGGCTCAGACCCGAATACCTTGAACTTGGCCACCATGTGCCCCTCATTCACGCCCCAGGCGTCAGGCACGTGGGGCTTCTCAGTGTCTGCGTCTGCTGGTCCCCTCTCGGGGCCTCGGCACGTGCCCTCCCCTCAGTCTAGAGCACAGGCGGCACACACAAGACCGACCTACCTGCCGTGCGGGGTGACATGGAAGAAAATCCCTCTTGTAAGGGACCCGAGCTGCTTACGCCCCCACCCTGGTACCCTTGTTCAACGGCTAGCAGATTGAAACCGAGTGGAATAAAAGTCCTGTGAAAAGTTTTTTGATGCGACCTCTTCCAACAGTTTGTTTTTGTTTTTGTAGAAGGTGGCTCCGGAGGGCGCGTGAAGCTGGACAGCCAGCCAGATGCAGTGTTGCGTGCGGCCCGTCAGATGTTCCGGGAGAACATTCCAGAGAGAAACTGAGCCCCTCGGAGCAGGCCCTTCGTCATAATGAAGAAAATCAGTCTCAAAACCTTCCGGAAATCTTTCAACTTGAACAAGAACAAAGAAGACGCGGGTTTCATGGTCGTCCAGCCACCCTCCCTCGCCGGCGATCTCGGGAAAGAGGATTCCCTGTTTGGCAGCTGCTACGGGAAAGACATGGCCAGCGGCGACCTCCACGGAGACGACGACAGAGGCGGCAAGAGCCGGCCCAAGAGCGAGAGCCTGATGGGCACGTTGAAGAGGCGGCTGTCGGCCAAGCAGAAGCAGAAGGGCAAGGGCGGCGGCGCGCCCTCCGGCGGCGTGGCCGACGACGACACCTTCTCCTCCTCCTCGGCGCCCATCGTCTTCAAAGACGTGCGAGCCCCGAGGCCCATCCGGTCCACGTCCCTCCGCAGCCACCACTACAGCCCCACGCCCTGGCCCCTGCGGCCCACCAACTCGGAGGAGACGTGCATCAAGATGGAGGTGAGGGTCAAGGCCCTGGTGCACTCGTCCGGCCCGAGCCCGGCGCTGAACGGCGTCCGCAAGGAGTTCCACGAGCTGCCGCCGCCAGACCCCGCGTGCCAGGAGCAGAGGGGGCCCCTGAAGAGCGCCGCGGCTCCCCACGGGGACCTGCGCCTTCACCTGGACGAGCATGTGCCTGTCGTAATCGGACTTGTGCCTCAGGACTACATCCAGTACACCGTGCCTTTGGAGGAGGGGCTGTGCGCCTTGGAGGGGTCGCGCGGCTGTTGTCTGGACGGCTCTTCTCCCATGGAGGTCTCTGCGGTCCCTGCCCCGGGGGGCGGGGGCTCCTTCCCCGAGGACGAGCCTCAGGGGGACCAGGAGCTCGTGGTGGCCCCCGAGATCTTCGTGGACCCGTCGGGGAACGGCTTGCTCATCGGCACCACGGGGGTGGTGCTGCAGAGCCCCAGAGCGGGTCACCACGACGACCGCGACGACGCGCCCCCACTCTCACCGTTGCTACCTCCTATGCAGACGAATCCAATCCAAAGGAACTTCAGTGGGCTCACGGGCACGGACGCCCACGTGGCCGAAAGCGTGCGCTGCCACCTGAACTTTGACCCCAACTCCGCGCCCGGGGTGGCCCGAGTGTACGACTCGGTGCAGAGCAGCGGGCCCACGGTGGTGACGAGCCTCACCGAGGAGCTGAAGAAGCTCGCCAGGCAGGGGTGGTACTGGGGCCCCATCACGCGCTGGGAGGCCGAGGGGAAGCTGGCCAACGTGCCCGACGGCTCCTTCCTGGTCCGGGACAGTTCCGACGACCGCTACCTGCTGAGCCTGAGCTTCCGCTCCCACGGCAAAACCCTGCACACGCGCATCGAGCACTCCAACGGCAGGTTCAGCTTCTACGAGCAGCCGGACGTGGAGGGGCACACGTCCATCGTGGACCTCATCGAGCATTCCATCAGGGACTCGGAGAACGGAGCTTTCTGTTACTCGCGGTCTCGGCTGCCCGGGTCCGCGACGTACCCCGTCCGACTGACCAACCCGGTGTCGCGGTTCATGCAGGTGCGCTCCCTGCAGTACCTGTGCCGCTTCGTCATCCGCCAGTACACCCGGATAGACCTGATCCAGAAACTGCCTTTGCCCAACAAGATGAAGGACTACTTGCAGGAGAAGCACTACTGACGTTAGGGGAGCCCTGCGGCCCGCACTTTGGGAGGAGGAGGAGGAGGAAGAAGAGATTGGAACACAGTTTACAGACGTTCATCGCTATCAGAATCTTTGCTGCCATACTTAATTTCAGTTTTATGTGTGTACAAGAGTGATCGGTTTGTTTTCCGGTGTTGGCAAGGTGTCTTGGCTTTGTTGAGGTTTCTTTAAAAAGGGAAGGCTTGAAGGTTTAGAAGTATGAATTCTCTTTCCCCCGACATGCAGAATAATCACAATGTGAACGATCAGATTCTCCTTAACCCCGACCCCATCCTTTGCTGCTAGCCACTGTGATTTTTATGCATTAAAAGCACATTTCGTGTGTATTCAACCCTACGTAAAGTTGAATGAAACCTATAGAATGAAAATTGTTAGTCTCTTTCAATGGCCCATTTTCAAAGATCGTGTTGAGTGAACATACCCATGTGATAAAACACAGAATTTATGCATACACTGAAAATGATTTTTTAACCTCATAGTTGAGAAGGATCTATTGAGAATTATGAGTGATGGAGTCTTGGGTACGGGAACACGGACCTGCAACATATCTTTTGTGACACTTGTTTCTAAATTATTTTTAAGGTTGTGCTAGGTTCTCTTTGCCCTTTTTTTTTTTTTACTTTGGTTGTGAAAATTTGGACTTTTCTGTTGCCTTCATTCTCGTCTTGTGGTTTGTCTATTTTGATAAATGGCCTTACATTAAAAAATCATAAAGAAATATGTACCACCAGTTTAGAAAGTGTTGCCTTTTCCGTCTTTAAGCTCTGGTACAAATTGTCATAACATATAAAGACCTAGACCATATCAGACTAGAAATATTAAACACTAGATGGTCCTAGTTTCCTGTGGTAGCTGTTTTTTGTGTTATGTCTGTTTTCCTTTGCTAAAATGTTTTGTCTGTGATTTCTTTAGTTAACATTTTCTTGGGTGAAATTGATATAGAACTGATTTTTGTAAATGGACTGGATTCTGTGGGAACACTCAAATTTTAGGTTAAGTTTTAAATTGATTTGAATGAATACTTCATTCAACTCGATTTGAATGCATTTAAATCGATTTGAATGAGATTTTTCTTTTACGCAGTCACTATTAAGAGATGTTAGATTTGACCCTTCATCCCACCGAGAAAGCCAACGAGCCCGGTAGCCTAGTTGAAAAATCGTGGAAATTGCGAAACACTACGCAAGAAAAATACTGAAACCACCTCAGATAGCATGGCGGTCTTGTCGCTCACCGTAGAGGGTGCTGCTTCAGTCCAGGTTTCCTATTGGTTACTTTTTAAGTCTCGGAGAAATTGGCATTGGTGTCTCTTTTATCTCTTTGATTCAGCCATTTTGGTGGTGGTGGTCAGGGGGTGCTATCCCCCACACTTTGTAGTTATGTTGAAATGTCATGTTTACTCACTGTGTGGTTCCTTCGTGCCGTATTTTGGGATGTCCCCATCCAGGAAATGTTCCCATCTCAGATGAAATGTGTAAGTAAGACATTTTGTCCTTTGTCACCCAGTTCTTCGCCCCATTGAAGAGCAACAGCAAACATCTTAGGTCAAACTCGACAGCTTTGTCATTCCGATATAGCAGTATCTCCATTTTTTCTCTACTTGCTTTTTAGGGTCAGAACGGAGAGTTAACAAGAAAAGGCACAGTATGGTGAAATCTTGTTCTGGTATTTTGACTTAAAGGGGAAAAGGTACTTAATTGTGGTGGAATGTACATTGTACCTTGTTGCAAAGACTCACTTTCTGATGTGTTCACCTAATACGATGGAATACTGGGTATACTGTAATAATATAATTTTAAGTGTTCACTATAAGCTATTTGGATTGAGAACTATTACAGAGTTGTAAACGTATCAAATTAATGCAAGACATTTAAACTATTTTTTTGCAAAACTATTTATTTTTAAACAATTTAAAATATATCTAGGGTGAGTTAAAAGTTCCCTGTGCATCGCTGTCAGATGGCAGGTATTGTCACAGAGTCCCCGTGTTTTAAGGATAGATGTTGAAGTGGCTTCTCACGTCTGCAGAAGCGTGTCTGTGTGCTCTTGGTGAGGCTGTGGCGCACAGAGGCCTTGCCACTCTGCCCGGGGCCCCGTCTTGGCATGGGGGGCCAGCCGCTCCCCGCCTCTCCCTCAGTGGGATGTGTTTAAGATCTAGCCGTTCAGTTTCAAGTTCCGATGATTCTGACTTTCATTGGAATGTTTTTGAAAAGCGTGTTTTGTGTTTTTATGGAGGGCGAGTCTCACTGTTCTCATGTGGAAAGCCAATTCTGTGTGCTTTTGTACATTCTTAATATCAAATACTTAAAGTAAAATGGGGTCTGATGGTGTGTTGATAAAAATAAATGGATTTGCCAAGAAGTTACAAGAAAAGAAGTATTGCAATATTTTCTGTTAGTGCCTGGAGAGAACCATATGAAGTAGGCAACACAGCATAATATGAAAGATTGACTTTATAAGATCCCAAAACAGTCTGGTTAAAAATGGACAGGGTGGGGAAAGAGATCAACGTTCAGGGTCTAGAGACAATTTGGATACGTTTCTGGATTACATTGAATGGCAGCTTAGATGACACGGGCACAAGCAGTGAGTGATTTTTAAAAGTCTGAGCTCCAGGCACGAAGCAGGAAACAGGGAAGCTGTGTCCTTTCGCCATAATAAATGAATCAGAGTTGTTTTCATCGACTATTTCATCACAAGACATGATGGAGGCCAGAAGCTATGTCCAGGCTTCCTAGGACACTATTATGCATTTTTACTTAAAAAAAAAAGCATAGAAAGTACTTGAAAAATAATCTCACTCTTCTTTTTCCAAGGAAATCTGTTCTCTTTCTTTCTACTTGGTGCAATAATCTGAAGATTTAGGGGGTCAAAAATTTATACCACGGGAAATGATCATAGAGCTAAAAATAGTCTTTAAGGAAACCAGCTACACGGGGCAGCCGTCTTGCCGTTGAAGAAAACTGTGTGCCAGAGCCTAGAGTTCATTGGCGCACAGGGAATGGAACCAATGCATTATCCTTTCTGAGCCGGTATCATTGACACAGGATAAAAGTTCCTGATGTCTTAAACAGAGGCTGTATGCCATGTCTCTGCCAGTGCTGACGTCTAAACATCTTTCCCGACAGCACTTTCAGAAATGCCAGCCGTAATCATCGTGCATTTCACATCGTATGCAAGAGGGATTTGCTTTGCGGGGTTCCGATAGTATAGTTTCCTTTTTTTGTGTGTGAATTTTCATTGAATGTGAAGTCTCGATTTGAAATTGAAATCCCTACCAGCAATAGACAGTTTTGTCCAAAACGAATCAGGAACAACGACCAGTTCCATAAGTAACTTAAAAATTCCAAAATGAAGCATGGGTACGTTAGGAATCAGAAATTCGGTTTCTTCGAATACTTTTGTAATCCTGCGAAGGTTTTTTATAAGCATTTTTAATTAACCAGTCACAACCTGGTGGATGTGTAGTTGCTGTTTCTGAAAAAGTGACCCAAACCGCCCATCCGGAGAGGATGAAACATTCTTAACAGAGTTTTGTAATAAGTACACATGTTGGGTTAAAGAAATTTTATAGTCGTGGGAGTGCCATGAAATTAATCCTTGCGATCAGATTGCTGTCGTTTACACTTTTCTGTATGTTTCCGATCAGGCGTGTGCCATTTGTACTGAGAACACCACAGAATGAATTATCCAAAGTCCATTGATTTTACTACGTGTTTTGGTTTGTACACAAATTATAGTAATTTCTTGCACATTTTTGGAAATTAATTGTATAAGAATTTATGTATCTGCTTCTAGATACAGTGTGTAAATAAAAAATTTCGTTCCCAAGATCTGTCTTGTAGTCTGTTTAATGCCTAGGTGCAGATTCTAATTAGCATAGGGTTAGTTAGATGGTTTCTGGATGTCCCGTAAACGAGGCAGAGACTGGAGAGTAGGAAGTAGCAAATTTTAGTCAAAAGGGGGAAGTGACATAGTGTCCTTCACGGGAGACATCAAATTAGGGATACGCCAATGTTGCTAATGCCCGAAGTCTTCAATACAAAGGCTGGAGTGAGCTGGCGGAACACTTAAACAGAATAATTAAAATCAACACAGTAATAAAAAAATGTTTGGATGTGACATTTAAAAAAAGCATGTGTCTTATTGATATTATTTCATCCCCAAGTGCACTGTGTAGATAGCAGTTATTTAGAAATCCACAGCCGGTGACAGTTTCTCATGTCCACTAAATTTAATGATCGGTTTTTAAAGTTGTTGAACTCCATATTGGGTTAAAAGTTCACTTTAAAATTTTGTCCTGTTACTTTTTAGCAAGTCTTGTAAAAAAAAATCCTGGCTAATTCAAAGATACATTTTTAAAGGACCTGGTGGGGAAATGTCACAAATTTTGATGAGCCCAAATAGCGGCACATTTTCATGTTCCAGACGTGGTCTCAATCGGCAACATTGACTTTGATTTTCATGTCGTATTTAATCTGCCTGGTGGGGGTGGGGTGGGTGCTGAAATATGGAATTATGGGGAGAGAATGGTCAGGCCTGTGGAACTGCGGGAAGGCTGGTCTGTGGACTACATCAATGCACATAGGGTTTTGATATAGATCAAAGGATGTAAAAATCATGTCAGAATAAAGACTTTTTTGATTGACTTTAGAGAGGGAGGGGAAGGGAGGGAGAGAGAGGAAGAGAATCATCGGTGTGAGAGAGAAACATCTATCGGTTGCCTCTCGTGCATGCCCCAACTGGGAACCGAACCCACAACCCAGGCATGTGCCCTGACCAGGAATCAAACCGGCAACCTTTTGCTTTGTGGGGCAATGCTCTAACCCATTGAGCCACACTGGTCAGGGCAGAATAAAGCCTTTTCTAATTGGGACAAGGGATAGTATAAAGTGGGAAGAAAAATGAGCACAATGTTTGGAATTCTTAATTTTAAAAGTCAGTGGTTTTTAAGAAGCGTTGGGGTGAGGAGCTGAGAGAGAGGAGGTATCTGAATTTTATTACCGGTTTGACTACATTTTAATTTTAATAGATATTGCCTGAACGGGAACATTTTAAAAATTCAAAGATGCCTGAATTAAGAATCACTCTGATGAACAATCTTTCAATAGCTAATAATTTTTAGATACGGGAATTGCAGAATAGATACAAGATTCCCTTGGCATAAAATTATTTCCATTTTTTCCACTCTAAGAAAATTGCCTGCTGCAGTGTCAAGACTTTGCTGTCCTTTATAGAAAAGTGTCAGATATTGAATGTTCCTTTGACCCACTTAGGGAGACAAAAGACTTTCTCTTATTGAATTATTTAAAGAGACAACCTTAATTATAATAAGGTTAAAAACTTCGTATGCCCAATGGGCAGAGCTTACATGTTTTCCCCTATTAGGCTAAATGTTTGGTTGCCAGGGTATTTCTGATACTACCTATGAGTCCGTGATGGCATTGTGGTTGTTTAAAAATCCTAGACGACCCCAGTGCACAGCCGAGAGAACTCTCCCTTTTGTTGTCAGGTGAATCTGCTCCGGATGGAAAACCGCCTGCAAGTAATTTCTTTCACTGTGCCCTGGCCGCCCCACCCCAGGAGTCTTTCAACTCTAACCCAGCCCGTTTTTCTGCCCAGAAATAGAGTTTTTATAAACCCGAATCGCACCTGTGCCAGGCCTGGTGGTATCTCACAAAATTCCTTTTGCAAAAACAGGGACGGATTTCTGTCAGAGAGAGATACAGTTCCGAAACATTTCATCCCGTCTGTGCATGTGAATAAACTAAAGGTACAAGGGCGTGTGAGTGGCTGAAGCTCTTCCATGACAGGGTAAAATCGACAACCTCTGTGCCTCCCTTGGTCCATCCAGTCCTGCTTTTCTTTACCGCCCTCCGCGTGCAGCAGGTTAATGGGAAAAAGATGGCAGTGTGCACAAGGCAGACGTAGAAATCAATACTTTTTTTCTGCAGCGACCTCAGGGCTCTCAATAAAATGCGCACACAGTGTGCTTGCACGTCCCTAAATGGTTCGCCAGATGGTCTTTTCCTGACTGTGGTCACTTTCTGAGCTCGTGTCCCCCTCTCCCCGGGCTGTGGCCTCGTTTTCATGTGAGAACGCCTCTCCATGATGCAGCAACCTGGGGAAACCCACCTTCGCTCTGTGTCCTTTGATTACAGCAAAAATATGGCTGTAAGTCCCTCGTTAGACACCACGTGATTTTGGGAGCCTTCGGCTGGAAAGTACAGCGAGGTGTGGAAGATGGGGGTTTGTATTTCTGCCTTTGAGGCCTCGCTCAAAGCCTGACTGCTCATTTCCCCAGTGAGGGTGGTTGGTGGTTGGTTTGGGTTGCTTTAAAAAGTGACTTAATTTTTTTTCCCCTACTCCCCAGGAAGTAGTTTTTCACTGTTTAGAATTTAAGGACAATTGGTGGAATCTAGAACTTCAGCCAATGCCAACTATTATAGAAAGGGAAATCTGTCAACTGGAGTTTTTAGGGCTATTTGCACAAGATGCTACTAATTTTTTTTGTTAGCATTCTGTTTTGTGTACTGAAAGAACTACACGTTTATATTGTTCCTACTCATTTGTGGTTTTCTAAGCCATCTGTGTTTGCTGTGTGAAAAGAAGAATAAACATAAATGAAGTAAATGAATAATTTAATTAATTTGAGTTACTGATTAGCTCAAGGGCATGAAAGAGTTCATCTAAGTAGTTGAAATATGTAACATCTATCAACTAATAAGAGCTGAGCTTTATTGATTGATAGAATCTTGGGTTGTAACCTTGCTGTGAAACTCTTTCAGTTGAAAGAATTTCTCTGCTAGAGCTGGGTTGTGAGGCGAAACAGGGTGGGAATAGATTTCCATTGTTTTCAGAGGAAGTCAAAATGTTCAAATCACTAGAAACGCGAGTAAAGCCCAGAGTAAAGGAAATACACGTACTAATTTTTTTTTCAGATTTCACTTCCATGGCAGCCTTAGGATAAAAACTCAATCTCAGTGTCATAATGTTTGTTTCTGTTCATAACTCATAGACATGGGTATGCCCAGGCCCAGAGGTTGAATATATATTATGGTAATCTGTTTGCATTTTGGCATGAATTCTTCGATTGCATGCCGTAAAAACTTACAGCTTAGTAAATTTTTTAAAAGATTTTATTTATTTATTTTTAGAGAAGAAAGGGAAGGAGAGAGAGAGAGAGAAACATCAATGTGCGGTTCCTGGGGGTCATGGCTTGCAACCCAGGCATGTGCCCTGACTGGGAATCAAACCTGCGATGCCTGGTTTGCAGCCCATGCTCAATCCACTGAGCCACGCCAGCCAGGGCGTAAGTTTTCTTTTTCACCTAAACGGACTATAGGATAAGGTTCTGGAGCAAACTCTGTGATCGCCCAGGTCTTTCATGATGCTGAATCGATCGCTCTATGTTTATAGCTCTTGTGGTGGCGGTGAATCACAGACTGCCTACCTGTTCGCGCGCGGCTGTCGGGTCTCCACAAAGATGACAAAACGCTGACAGCTGAGGTTGTAACATTGCCACAATAGCTAGCGTCTAGGCCTTGATTGCTTTCTTTAAATATTACTAAAATTAATAATAACTGTCATCAGCAGGCACATTGCCACCCTTGTTCACAGTGTAAAGATGAAGGCGATTATAAGTCTTTTCTTCCTTTTCCCAAATTCTTAAAAATCATAAGCCTTTTTGAAAATTTATGTATCTTAAATTCTTCATCTATTGCAAAGAGGACTATCCAGGTTTTCAATATAAATTTAAAAAGAAAGGAAAATTGTCATCGTTGATATTTACATTTGAGTATGTCTTTTTTTTAAGATTTTATTTATTTATTTTTAGAGAGGGAAGGAAGGGAGATAGAGAGAGAGAGAGAAACATCAATGTGCAGTTGCTGGGGGTCATGGCCTGCAACCCAGGCATGTGCCCTGGCTGGGAATCGAACCTGTGACACTTTGGTTTGCAGCCCACGCTCAATCCACTGAGCTACGCCAGCCAGGGCTCTGTTTTTTTTTTTTTTTTTTTTTTAATTCCAAATGTTTAGGAGTCAAAAAATAACTAGGGCACCTGAACGACAATGATTTGAGCGGTCTGGGTGCATGTGCCGCTGGGTCCGTGCCGTCTCTGCATCCTAGCTCAGTTTCTGGGAGGTGCAAGGGCCCGAGTGACTCATCTGGATCATCTGTGTCATCAGGACGGTGCCCGAGGGACCGAGCACAGGCTGGGACTTCAGATACCTGGACTCCACTGTCTGCTGGCTGACTGGCTGTCTCCGCGTGGGGTTTCATTTTGACCGTGGTTTAAAGGTCGTCCTTTAACGTCATGTTCTTTGTGTCTCTCCCTCTAAAATGGCAGCAAAGATCTTGATCCCCCCTCCTCCCCACCAGGATATTGCCAGGATGAATTATTATTAGAGCAAAATAGAGCAATCCGTCTCTCTGGAGATGTTTGCTCTATAAACGTGAGGAACGATCCTCATGAATCCCAGGGTCTTTGCCGCTGTGCTTGCAGGGTGAGTAGGCACTTTCTCAACGAGTAAGGTGTGTTGAAGCTCCTTCCAGTGAAGTCTGGCATTTATTCCAAAGGGACCCGGAGGCTGGGAACCCTGGGATGTTTCCAGGTTCTTGCTCTGCAGGGAAACATTCCCAGGATGAGCTGGTTTAGACGGGTTAGTCACGGGTCTGGCTGCTACTGTTGCATTGTCCTGGAGTTGCTTTTGTCCCGTGTTTTAGAACCCCTGCAGTGCTGTAGGTCCCCACGCTTCATCTGAGTCAGAACATGTTCTGTGGTCACAGGCAGAATCCTAGAGCTTGGGGGAACAGTCCGCTTGTTAAGA